AATAAAATATATAATGTATAACACATAATATATGATTAATATCTAAAAAGAGGCAATATTCAAAATCATATTGCCAGGAAAAAAAATTTTCTGTAAAATGACACTGCAAAAAGCTGTAAAGTTTGATCACTGTATCTAGAAACAGAGAAAACTAATAGAGAACCATAATTTTACACAATAGAATACATTTTGCCACAGCTCAAGGAAAACTAGGAGGAAAAGATTAAGTGTACCTCACTTGTCTCACTTCTGTGAATGAATATGCAAATAGCAGACAGAGAAACTGAAGCAACTGTTACTAGCAAACATATTTTTCTACTAACTGGTTAAGTCTCATATTAGAAATTTTGGTATTTATTTTCACTATTTCAGCTACTTTTTATAGTGGATGAAAGTCCTCAAAAAAATGTGGCGAGAGAATTTTTATCATTTCTTTGTAAATTCCATGTCACAGATTTATGTCCTGATTTTTGGGAGTAGTCCCTACTTACTGACTCACAAAAGATATCCTTATGTCTCATACAGCAAGTGCACATCCAAGGAATACAAAAACACCCATATATGTGAACTGGAAACCTAGTCTATCATGTATATCCATTACCAGAAAACCTAAGGAGAATGGCAAGCTGTACAACTCTTGCCAAACTCATTTGTATATTTGTGTTCAACAAAACCTGAACACAGGTCAAACTAGGTCTATAGACAGGGATTACTGACAAACTACCTCTTATTTAAAAGTGTCTTGTAGATGATATTATATGCTTCCTAGCCATGATGATCCTGACATATAAAAAAGCTTAACTCCATCTCCATTTGAACAAACTTTATATCCTTTAGCTATCTTCCGGTGTCTCTCTAGGACATAGGGTGCCCTGAGTGAGAAAAATAATGTAGAATCATTTTACTTAGCTATTAAACAATTATACTCATGTTCTCTCACAGCTAAAAGGAGGTTTATAAATTCTATTACTAAACTTAAAATATCTACTATTTATTTTCACTGCGTGAGAACCTCAACATGACTGCTACAACAAAGATTCTAATTAGTGTAATCTTTTCTGTAACCCGATTGTCTATTCTTTTCCAACACAAGGAAGATGTGAATTTGAAGAACATACACCATGCTGGGTCTGTGTAACCTGTAACAATTTTCTATCTTAATAGCCACACTGCAGCATTTGAAAGTTGGCAATTATTCATTTTGCCATGAGCTAGCAACTGAAAGAGTGAAATTCTCATCTGTGAAGAATGGTATAGTACATCATGGATTACCAAAGTCAGGCACTCCCAGTGAAAGTGTCCTCTTGCTTATACCTAACAAAGCTGATGTTCATTCAGTAAGGCTCTTCTCTTCCCTGTACAAATTTTATGTGAACTTTAATCATGTTAATCTCTAGAAAGAAAATGTTTTAAAAAGAAGAAAACAAACCATGTTAATAAAGATTTAACTCACCAGAGTCAGAGAGGAAAACACAATTCATCTTCCTATAGACTTCTAACAATTTGTGACAGCCTCACACAGACATCTATAAATGCTACTTAAATCTTGTGTTCAAAATAAAATACACTAAGTCTGTTTAAAAGAATACACTAATCTGGATTTTTCAAAGCAAAGACAAAAAGTGGAATCCACATTTTCTGTCCTTCAATATAAAACTGAGGTCTTTAGTCTAAATTGACCATTCAGGTTTTTCCATTATCTGTGGGGAAAGAGAGGCACCTCCATAAGGCAATTCATCCTGTCCTCACACAACCATACAAAACAGATGGGAGGAATTGTTCTCTGGAAGGTTGTCTCAGTCTCATTCCAAAATCTATAGTGTAAGAGACTAAAAGAGAAAACTGTAACAACTGCCTGTTACAAAGGCCCTGGTAAAGGATGAAACGTGATTGTCTGTTGAAGGTCTTGTGAACAAATGTTTTGTCTCAAACATTTAAGTTGTAAAAGACTGTAACTGCATCCCTAGACCTATTCCTTGCTGATAAGAAGAAGTGAGGAATGCACCAAAGGACTTATGACGTTACTCCCTTGTTAATAAAATTGCCTCCCTTACAACCAAGTAGCAAACCTTGCTCCATTCCCTTGTGAACAAGGTCACCCCCCCCCCACCTCTGGGGCACTGTCATGGGTAAGGACTGAGCAGCAACCACGCCCCACCATGTGCCATGTCGTTGCTCTTCCCTCACCATCCCCTTCCCGGTAAAATGGGGGAAAAATTAAGAGGTAACAACAGATTTACAACATGAGAAAAAGAGAAGGTAATAACAACAAACAGTAACACACAATGGAAAGACCTCACTGCCAAAATGCCACCTAAAACCCCTCACCCCTCTCCCAGCTAGCTTCCCCTTATAACCTGGGCATGACATCAGCATGGTATCGAATATCCCCTTGCCTATGCCCACCTCCCAGCTTCCATGAAAATTCACCCTATCCCAGCTGAACCCAGGACAGGCACCAACAAGTAAAGTTCAGCCAAAATTAACCTAATACAGGGTCTGCATGACCATGGACCCAATTGGTTGAAAGGGTTAATGTTGCCCTTCGCCCCCTTACACATGCACAAAAAGATGGTTCTTCCCATGCAACTTAAGGAGACACCCCTCTCTGTTTCCTATGCTAATTAAGGAGACACCTCCATCACTTTTTATGCTAACTGAAGAAAGTCAGTCAGAGAGCTGAGAACTTTTGTCTATAAAAGGTGAATAAACAATGGGAAGGTTGCAAACCCACCACTGGATGACCTCCCCCTCCTCCCCAACATTGACCGTTGCTGGATCCAAGGGTGGTGACATCTTTCTGAAAACATTCCTCTCTCTCTTCTCTCCTTTTCGTTTCCCTTTTCTCTTCAAGCATCTCTTGATCTCTCCCTGTCTCCAACTATTTTCCTGGCACATAAGGGTAACACCATTACAAGTTTTTTTTCTTTCCTCTTCAGTATCACTAAGTAATTACACATTTTTCTTTTTAGTGATAATAAGTGATTGCAAGTTTATTGGATAGTGGTTGTTAGTTGGCATATTATTGTTGTTTTGGTATTGTAGGTAATTGTGGCCTTGTCACATCATTGTAAGTTTAAGTGTTGTCAGTGGGTGACGATGGTGGTGTGGGTTTTCTTTGAAAAGTCATTTATCTTTTTGTAATCCCACCAAATTTTACATTTTACATTTTACATCCAGCGTTTCCCTTTTCCTCAGAGATTATACACATTAAAGTTATAAGCCAGTATTCATTGTTTGGTGTCGTCTCACCTTAATTTGCCCCAAGGGGATCCACAGAACCTCCACAAACCCCACTTGTCCCACCTAGGGTGGTCCATGAGCCTGGTCATGACACAGGGACACTAGATAATTTTTGGCTAATACCTAACCTTTTGATACCTAAAGTCAAAAAAAAGATGAATCCATCTTCTCATGCCTTTAGTTGGAAATCCTAGTTTGTAGTAAGTTTTTTTGGGGGGTTTTTTGGGGTTTTTTTTTTGTTTTTTTCTATGCAGACTGACTATTTTGGCTTGGTTTCAGCACCTCACAGGCATCTGGTTAAAATTCTTACTACATTACACCTGCCATGCTGTCAGAGATGCGTTAGCCTGCTCCATCTAGCAAGCTGATAGGGAGTCCAGACTTTCAGTGGCTCCTGTAATAGCATTAGATTTCTGATGTGGACGAGGAAGGTTGCTATCAGGTTACTAGGCAATCAATACAAGTGTGGGCAAGATTTACAGCAGAACAGATAAGGGTAAAGGGAGAGTCATTATAGTGTAGTTTCTGATGATTAAATAATGCCGGAAGCAAGCCAGGTTTTTTCCTCCATAAGAAACCAACAGGAACATTTGAATTGTTCCTGTTCAGATAAAGGTGTCTGAACAAGGCAATACCAGTTCTGCACATTTCCATCTCCTGAGTAGAGTTAACTATTAGCATACAATAAATATTCAGATTTTTATATACACCTAAGTGACGCAATTCTTTATGGATCCTGTTTATAGACTGTTAAAAGTAAAGAATATAGAAATAAAAGTGAGAGTTAAAAATTTATATGTTTTAGGAATACATTAAAAAAAAAGTATAGCTAATGTTCCATACCTGAGCAGTGGTTGCTTTGGATAAGAAGGTTGATCACTGTTTTGGCATGGCTGAGGTTTTTTTGTGACTTGCTTATAGATATTTCTGGCAGTTACTCCAATCCATAGCACAGTAGAGAGTGTAGAATAATGTAGCACTATGCCAACCTAAAAAAAAGAGCAAACAGTTATACAAGTCAGTAAATGGATCAGTAAAGCAAGAGTTTTAGAAGAATCTTACTTCATAAGTGTACAAGCAAATGGATTTTTTTAAACTGAATTTGTAAGTGCATCGATTTTTCTTTCTCTCTGGTTATTTCTAACTAGGGAAAACACTTTTAAAAAACAGATGGAATCTGTTATTTAATCTATCATAGATAATATCTGTGATACCAGATGGCATGTTAAGAAACCAAGACTATAAGACATTTGTTTTCTAAGAACCTGATTAATAACTTTTTACACCTAGATTTAAAGTGATCCGAAGCTTAGTTTCTAGTGCAAGCATTTTTAGCTTATGATGACAATACAATTTAAAAATTAAAGAGAGGTCATCATTTTTGCTTGCCATTATGCTACTATTTCCTTTCATTTTTCAGGAATATCCTGCTGTAGTTCACTCTCCGCTTCATATGGCCAAGGTTGAGTTCTTATAATGGGATCAGTGCTATTTGCCTAATACCAGATTATTTTCAGACATATTTTAAGGAATTTATAAACTTGCCCATACAACTTTGTTGTGGTTTTGTGTGGGGGGTTTTGTCTGGTAGCAGGGAGGGGCCACGGTAATGGCTCCTGTAAGTAGCTGCTAAAGGTTTCCCTGGACTCTAGCTCTGCTGGTAGCAAGGGAGGGTTTGGTGTGGCTCTCTCAGGGGCTGGTTTCTCTCTCTCAGTAGATAGCTTCTTGTTGTAAATAGTTAATAAATTTAATTGGGTTTTTTTTGTTCTTCCCAGGTGGCCTTGGTTTCTTGCCAGTGACCCTAAGTGGTGAGCGAAACCCTCCCTGTCCCTGTCTCAGCCCACCAGGTGTTGAACAAAAACTGTCCCTGTGGTTTTATAAACCATGACAAAATTAAAAAATTAAAAGACAGATCTTGGCATCCTCCCTTAAAAGAAAATACAAACTCTCAGTAGTGTTATTATCAAATTGTCTCCAAGAAACTGGTGTGTTTATCACTGAAAGTAAAACTAAGTACAAACACCTCTAAAATGCTAACATCTTTGTTATGTTAGTTATTGTTATTCATTACTATGGAAACAGTAATTGGAATTTTATCCAATCTCCAATGCTTTATTACATCAGCTAAGTCTCCATCTGATTATATAAAATGAGGTTACCTTTGAAGCAATAACCTGACATTTTGCAGTAATAAGTAAAATATGGCTATAATTGGAAAGCACATAAATGTTTAAGGAATACAGAGAATTGCTGAATAAAGCTAACACAGATCTATTACAGTGATTTATTTGAACCAGTGTTCATTATTGCTCAACTTAAAACAAAATAATTGATGGTTAAAGAAAAAAAACCATGAATTTTGTTTACATTTAGTAATACAGCACAAAACTTGAAGATAGAAGCAAATATCATCAACAGAAAACCCTTTGTAATTTTCTCTGGGACTTGTCTGACATATTAAATACGGGAGTATAAAACCTTCACAGCTGTTGTAGCTTGAGGTAAAAGAAGCAGAAATAAGAGAATGAGACAACTTTGTACCATCAGCTGGCAGACGTTGCCAATTCAGTGGCTAGTGCTGTCTGGACAGTTCATACGCAGCTTGCAGCATTTCTGTAGGGATGGAGTGAATATGACTATGAACTGAGGGGGGAGCGGAGGAGTAAGGCAGGAGGGAGAAGAGAGGGAGGTGAAAGGGGAACAAAAAGGAGGTGGGAACCATGAGAAAGAACTGGAAAAATTCTAGACATTTGTTTCATAACGTCTTTCTCCTTTCAGCATAGCGCTGCTACTATACATTCTGTAATTACATAAGTATGCCAAGGAGTCCCTGTGAATATGAACAGCATGGATGAATTCCACATGACAAGGCACCTACATGTGAAATTCTGACAACATATATGGCCATGTGTATAGAAATGATCAGCAACTTAAGTGAACGAGATTCCTAAAAACAGTACAATAAAATAATCGTATTGAACTTTCAAGGAGGCAACTGAACTGAACGGAAGACATCACTGCTATGCCACACCTTAGTCATTACTTTTCTTTACAGTATGCTCATATTTCAGCAACTTAGTGCCTTCTGATCTCTGGACAAATCGAACAAACGTGGCCAAGAGACGGAAATGTTATCATCTTCTGTACTAACTCTTCAGTAATATGCCTTTCTCTCTCAAAAAAAAATCCATTTGCATTTCTTGCTTAAAGGAAAAGAGGATATATCCTAATGATACAGAACCTCCTCATGACTGACAGATTTGAAGGACAATGGTGACAATCTGGAGATAAAACATACATGACAAAACAAAAATGTGGAATTTGGAAGGGTGTGCTGAGCTGTTGTACTGAATTACAAAGGAAAGGGTACTCTTTCTCTGTGTGGTGATGATTTTGTTTCTCACTTCCCATCACAAATAATGCTTTCTCGACTAGAATTTTTGCTTTTGTTCAGCCACTAATAATAATTAGTAAAGAAATGCTTGTCACACCTCATCTTGAAAATTCAGTGTTTCAAAGTGGTAGGCTTTGCTCTCCGCCTCTTCTTTTCTCATATCTCCACACTGACATCAGTCATGCCACAGCGATGCATTTTCTTCACTATTGCACTTAGGGGCTATGGCTGCGTGCTCTTTTGTTCCCTTCAGTGGGACCACCTCTTTCTAGCTCTCTTAAGCTAGGAAGACATCTGAGCCCTATGCTAGAAATACATGAGATACCAGCTCATGACATGGAAGGGGAAGACAAGGCTCAACAGAAAGGGGAACAGGACAAGGATAGTTTTGTTCCGTAAACTCTCATTTAAATGTGGTAGCAAATGCAAGCCTTATGTTTATGCACTAAAGGCCCAGGGTACAAGTTTACCTATATATATATATCTTCTTACTGGATTTGTGTCTCCATAAAACTTGAGAGGCAGATAAATAGATACATATTAAATACCAAGGTGTTTGCTTAAAACTATTTTCACTGTAAGTGGAACTTCCGTATTTCACACAAAATTGTGTGGAAAGGGTCAAGTTTTCTGCACAGAACAGAGGATTATGATTGAATATATTAAAGTGATGACCCTTATTTGTAAGAAGGCTTTCCACTGACAAGTCAAATGGTACAGAAAGAACTTGTCAGGAAATATGCATTGAAGCCAGCATAGCACCTAAAACTATTTAATAACTGCAGTTATATGGTGAAAACTTTCTTGTTTCTTTGGACTCATTTTGTCAATCTCTTGTGCTCTTAGTACTCTTACCTTTGGGAATAAGCAGCAGCCTACTGAATTACACTTTTCTACAGTAAGAAGATGATGCTTATATGTCCTCCTTCAATAAATTTCACTACCTTAGAGGTAAATTAAGTTCCACACCATGGAGTTACCATGGCGATGACCAGAATACACATTTATGCAAAGTATTTTGGCACGAAAAGCTCTCCTGATCAGTTTTAACTTGCACACAAATATATTTCATTTTCCCTAGTTTTTAATTTGATTTTCTTTTCAATTTAGTCATATAAGTTTCCAGACACATAAAGTATTGCTTGTTCCTGCCTCTGCACAGCTGAACAATACCTTTCTCATCAAAGACCACTCAAGAGCTCTTAAATAGCATTCTTCTGTTGAGACACCCTAACTGGCAAACTTGATCACAGCACATTAATTTTACACCCATACTCTAAAAAAAAAAACATAGCTAGAGCAGAAAGAACTGCTCTTTTCCTTCTTTCCAATAACATTTTTGTATCTCCAGCTCCTACTCCAGATGTGGCACATAGCTCTAGCTCCTAGTTTAACATGATATAAATTCAAATTTCAGACTTCCAAGGGCAGCATTCTAACTTCCAAGCTACCGGCTACTATGGAATGGGCTTCACGCTTCTTGGTGAAGATCAACTGTGCTAGAGAAAGGAATTCACAAGTAGCTCATACGACACTCATCAGGAAGGAGGAAGATCTGAGCCTTGCCAAATGTTGCATGGAAGCATTTATTTGATAAACCATATAGGAGGTTCTTGTGATCAAAGTGATCATGCCACTCGGTGACTGGCCACTAGGATAAAAAATTATGATTCTGTCTCACTCCCTAACATTTCTATCTCCTGAATCTTGTGCCCCTAAGCCTATCCTTTGTGCTTCAACATGTTGAACTGATTATTTCATCTCCTAGCATCCATAGCCTCATGACTGCCCTGCTCTCCTGGGAAGTAGGGGCCATAAGACTGAAATCTTTCAGACTGAGGGTACAGAATCAATGCCTCCCACACACAGGGAGCAATCCAGCTGCAGTTTTGTCTCCCTCCATCTCATTCCTTACATGAAAGAAATAAGCCTCCTTCTGCCCGTTGAAGGCAAGTAATCTGAAACTCTAACTGGCCAGCCACTGGCTGGCTCAAGCACCTTTCTGAGTAGTGTACTTGTTCTGATTAATCCCATACTGCAATTCCTAACACAACCTTTGCCTTGCATGAAAGATTTTGATATAAACTCCAGACCCTGTATTCTACATCAACAGCCACCATCCACTGACACCCAGAATCAGATTTGTGAGTAATCTAAACAGTCTGTAGATATAACCTCATTCACATAGGAAATCTGTGAAGAAGCAATCAGCTCTTCCAGACCACCAGTCTAACATCAGTTCTCTTTGTAAAGACTGCATAGCAGATACACAAATCAGATTGTCCATACCAAATCCTCTCTGAAACAGGTATGCAGGTTTAAAGGGAGTTTTAGATTTTTAGATTCCAGATAAAAATAAATATCTTAATATATCTGAAAACACTTTTTTTTTTTTTTTTTTTTTTTTTTGTGGAATCTTACCCTGTACACTCAGGAAACAAAAAGTGCAAATTACATTGCTGCAGTGTGGAGCTGTGTTTTGAATAGTAGCAGATGAAAAGATACCTGTGCGATAGCAACACGGATGGTGTTACACATGAAGTACAACTAATATTTTAATGCTGCTTAAAGCAGTAATATTTTCACAAATATATTTTTAAATCCTAATATCAGTTTTTTTCCAGAACTGAAAAAAAAAAAGGAAAAAAAGGAGAAAGAGAGAAAACTTAGACTTGCGGGAGACACAAGCCCATAAAAGCTATATAAATATACCTTTCATTAGTCTGAGTGATTTAAAGAATTGCTATATTCCATACACAGGAGGAGTGCTGTGCCTCCCCCTCTTACTCCCCCCCCATGCAAGCTATGGGAAATCACAGAATCACAGAATGTTAGAGATTGGAAGGGACCTCGAAAGATCATCTAGTCCAATCCCCCTGCCTGAACAGGAACACCTAGATCAAATGTTCAAATATGTGAGCTTCTCAGGAAACCATTAGGAGGTATGACCTCCCTACCTCCTACCTCCTTTGGCACCCTGAATATTAATTCAGAGAATAATCCTCTCAGGGCCATCACAGGAGGAGACAGGCACAGGGACTCAGAGAAGTCTGAAAAATGTTGCTGTCACTAGGCAAGAAAGGGTCTGTGGTGGGGTACAATATTCTGAGAATGAACATTTGTTCAGCCAACCTGTGTTACCAGCTATAGGAGTTTCAACTTAGGTTGGTTGGACTGCTGCATCCATTAGCCCTACCTAATCACATCAGACAATTTCTATCAGGAACCAGAAGACAGTATGTGTCTTATGTGTCCTGTATCTTTCCTATATTTTAACTGATGATGATATTGTCTGCTGATGTAGCATGGTGTCAGGTAAGTAAAGAACTTTATGAAACTAATTAGAAGGAATATGTGAATGGATCTGTTCAGTTTCTCTAAGTGTGCAAGATTTTTAGCAGCTCAGGATCTGGCTCTATACCATAGCAGCACTCACTGATAATGCATTTTATGAAGATAGCCTTGTAGTTTATGTATTACTCATAACAGATTATTAATAACTCATTTATCTCAATCAATTTTTCATTATGGCTGTTAATACTGCATTGTTACCATGCAATCTGCAAAGTAAATAACCAGACAATGATTGTAACAACAGATGGTCAGTTGTGATCGTGTAATTACATGGCCATGGCCCTACAAACTAACGTGCTACCTTCACTTGTAAACTGCAGATAAAGACAATGGCAAATGATATTTCAATTTGCTCACAGATTAATTACAACACAATGCACTAGATATTGTGAGATATTTATCTCGGAATAATCTAGTGGACAACTGACATTTAAATTAATATTATAGGTTTTACATGTAGAATGTTACAGGTGCTTACAGATTTAGATGTGCTGTGTACTGATGGTCTTTCAAAGCACCTCACTGAAAATTAGAGTGATAACTCTTACACTAGTTAGGCAAGTTTTGCAGTGATTCTTGCCTCTTTCAAGCAATTCAAGCCAATGAGAAGAACCAGATTGGTGACAGGCAAACTATCTGGGAGAATTTTGTCTTAGCAAAGTCCTTTACTACAGATAAATACCAACAACATTAACAAGATCTGGAGCACTTCTGCAAAACCCAAGAGGAAGAAATATTTAAGACAAATTGTAAAAAGCGCTCATCAGGTGTTATGGAAGATGACTGAAATGACTCTTATTACAAACTATACGGACTCAACCTCTGTATTCAGAGCAGCTGAAGCCATGCCCTCTCTGTGTGTCTCATAGAATCACAGAATCATGGAATGGTTTGGGCTGGAAGGGACCTTAAAGATCATCTAGTTCCAACCCCCCTGCCAAGGGCAGGGACACCCTCCACTAGCCCAGGTTGCTCAAAGCCTCATCCAGCCTGGCATTGAACCCCTCCAGGGATGGGGCATCCACAGCTTCCCTGGGCAACCTGTTCCAGTGTCTCACCACCCTCACAGTGAAAAATTTCTTCCTAATATCTAGTCTAAATCTACCCTCTTTCAGCTTATACCCATTACCCCTTGTCCTCTCACTACACTGCCTGCTCAAGAGTGCCTCCCCATCTCTCCTGTAGCCCCTTTCAGGTACTGGAAGGCTGCTGTTAGGTCTCCTTGGAGCCTTCTTTTCTCCAGGCTGAACAACCCCAACTCTTTCAGCCTGTCCTCATAGGGGAGGTGCTCCAGCCCTCTGACCAATTTCTTGGCTCTCCTCTGGACTCCCTCCAACAGGTCCAGGTCTTTTTTATGTTATACATATCTCATGGCAATATATCCCTGGAAACGATGAAGGAAGAGATGTGAAACAGTCCAGCAGTGCAAACATGGTCCATAAATCGCAAGCATACTGTCTTTGTCTCCTTAGCCTGAGTTGTAATTAAAAGACATAATTATACTATAAACATTAAGCTGCCCAAGTATATATTTAGGGATCACCCAGTGAAGCCAGGGCCACCCTCAGGCAAATGGGATATGTATTACAAAAGGCAGCAGTCACTGTAGTTTCACACATTCAATCCAAAGATCAGAAAGGACATTAGAAATATTTGGGAAACAGTTTTCAACTATGCTACAGGACAGACAAATGTTACGATTTTCAGGCATTTTTTTAAAATAAGGAAATCTGAGCTGCAGAGAAGTTAATGCATTGGTCAGCCTTTCACAGAAACTCAGATGACAATGAAACACTTAACACTCCCAGTGCCTGCCTGTAAAAGACCTGCTTATAACAATGGCTTATTCTGAAGAACTTAGGATCCAGGAACAATATGTGAAAAGAAAGATAACTACCAATATTATGTCAAAAGACACAGTTTCAGGTTTTCATTCTATCAGTAAGAATTACTAAGGCAGATACTTACAGCTTGACATATAATTGGATATTTAATGCGATTGATTCCACCAGCAAAAACAGCAAACGTAAGAGCAGTATGGAAACAAAAGTTGAGAAGCATGTGCCATCCTTTTCTACTTATTCGGATTGTGCTGTTGAAAAATCAAATTTTTAAATTAAAAAACAACATATCTATTATGAAAATTACACTTTTGAAAAAATCCTTAATATGATAGAATTAAATTCTCTGATTCTTGAATTCCTACATAGCAATTTATCTGTAGGACAGAGTCTGATTTATACAGCACTGAAATCAATGGTAACAATGTAAAATCAATGTTAAAAATTGTAAAAAGAGTCTACCGACGAGGGTCTACTGACTTAACGTTTCCTCCATCAAATCAACCATTTGAAGTAGAATAATAAAAGCAGAAGGCTTATTGCATAGCTTCAGATGTGTGTAACTTTAAAAAGACATCCCTAAAGGATTAAATGGAAGCTGAAGATCAGAAGTCATTGCATTAAGTTCACTTAATTAATATTTATCAGCTTCTACAGTATAATACATTCGTATTCTTTTAAATTGCTAATGTCTTTAACAGAAGTACGTAGTTAAAATGGCATTTATATAAATCTTTCATATAAAGGAAAACACAAGTTTTTTAAATCCAAGATTTAGAAGTCAAAGACAGTTTATTTTATCCAACGATGCTTACCAAGTCTTTCAACCAGACTTGCTCTCAGAAGCCGGTTCACCAGGGTAGCTGTCCAATGTGCAGCTCTGCAGCACTGGAATTTGCCAGACAGCAATTCAATAGTGCATGTGGTTTTATATTGAATTGTCAAGTTAGAAATCTTAGGAACTGTGTGTAGACCATTTATACATATGTCTCAGGAAAGATACAGCTTGGGAACAGCTTGAGAAAGGTTGACGTAACCTTTTTTTGATTTCTCTGGTGTAAATCACATAGGTGATATTACTATCCAACAGTAATTCAGATAATTTAAATCTATCTTTTCAGTGAGGGTTAGAAAAATTGAAGTACTTCAGCATAATTCTGACCGTTTAACATAAGTGCTTAAAATTGAATTCTTACCTGTGATGGACAATGTAGGTGATAATGGAAGCAAACAGGCACAACAACATAACTGCAGTACATGCATATACCACAGGGTGCAGAAACTCCCCTGGGTACTGGGGGAAAGACAGCACTGTCTTAAAATCCTATGGAGAAAGCAAAATGAGTTAACACTGTTAGGTGTGTATGAAACTCTGCGTCTTTATTTCAATATGTCTTGTTGTTTCTAGCTGTTCCCTCTCAAGAGCAGGAAAATATGATGATGAACTTTTCATGTAGATAACGTTCATGAATTTACAATAACATCAGACTGCTTTTTCCTCATCTACATACACTTTGAAAAGCAGACATATCCCAATAAAAAAAATCAGAAAAAATACACAGAATATTACATCTTCTAGGTATTAGCAATATCTGTTCCTTCTGATGACATGAACTTTATGTGTATATTTTAGTAGGATATTAAGTACAAAATACCAAATTACCATAAAGGTCTCTAAGTGGCATATTTAGAAGAAGAAGAACCACTCAAAGCAACAAAAGCCATAAGAATACACCCAAAATATCAACTGACTTGCTCTTATATTCAAATATAATTCCGAGTTGATACACCTTCTCTGACCCAGGGACCTTGACACTTTGTTGCAAATATTCTGCTACCTATATCAATTCAAAAGCAGCTTTACAGTTATACTAACAGTAAAGATCCATACATTCCTTTTGGACCTCCCAGAGCCTACTGACACAATTCTTCATGAAAAACATAATGAAAAGCTACTAATATCTTTGTAAAATTAACAATATCAGATTCCCATTCTAAATTACTGGATCTCACAAGTAAGAAATAATAGGAGAACTATTATATATCAGCGATAAAATGAGGA